GCAAATTTTTCATAGTTGCGCGCCAAATTTGGTTCTGTGGCGTCACCTAGTATTAGTCGAGGCTTGACCCAATATTGATAAATAAAACAATTATACACATTTTTTCTTGCTGGGGTCCAAAATACCCCCTATAGCACGTACGTTATTATTTTGACGTGTATCAGCTAAGGGTAAATTTTAATTTTTAATTTTAACCCTTATCGGTCGTAAGTCACCTCTCAAGTGACAACAATACTTCGTCGCTGCGGTCGTACGTCACGTAGGAGTTGACAAGTCGGAACCTGTCGAAACTCGCTCTCTGTCAAATGCGGGTACGATTGCCTTGTCAGTTAAGCATAAGCAACGGAGCAATTGATATGTCCAGTGATATATCACTGCTTTTTGTACTCAATTTTTTAATATATTAAGCCCAAAAATGAATAAAGAAAATTTTATAAATTTTGATAGTGATAGTGACAGTGAATGTTTTGAAAACAATTCTTCATTATAAATACAATAAAACAATTCTTCATTTGTTCATATGATACTGGGTCAATGAAAACTGTATCAAGAATGACACGTGGTGGCTATCAGGTAGAGCTGAAGAAACCTGAAATGATATTGAATGATAAGAAATTTATGGGCAGAGTGGACCAGTGCAGATCAATTTGAATCTATGTACTGTTTTTTACAGAAATCATTAAAACGGTGAAGGATAGTTTTTTTCTAGGGAATTGAAGTATCCTCCTTGTATGCTTATATTCTGTATAAAGCTGATTGTAAACATAACAACAGTAAAACAATGTCTCATATAAAGTTTATTCGGAAATTAGTTATGTCACTAATTGGGAATTTACGTGAAGGTAAAACTGCGCGATATGGAACGCCATTAACAACAGGCAATGAGGAGAGATTAGATGGAGAACTACATATCCTCCAGCTTAATGGTAAAGAAAAACATAATGACCGTTTAGTATGTTCTAATCGTAAATTGCCTGGAGAAAAAAAAAACAACAGTATACGAGGGTGGTCCCTGAAATACCCGACCTAACAAAGAAAACACGAAAATTTTGGAAAAAAATGTATTTATTTTTCAACATAATCTCCTTTCAGCTCTGTACACTTTTCCCAGCGATGTTCAATAAGTTCGATACCCTTTTTATAATAAGAACTGTTTTGCTCCTCTAAATAGCTATTAACTGCCGACATCACTTCTTCATCGTTGGAAAATCTTTGACCACTGAGCCATTTTTTCAAGTTTGGGAACAGAAAATAATCCGAGGGGGCGTTTGTTGCTGTGAAACTTTGCTAAACACTCAATTGAAACATCTTCACGACACTGTTTTTGCTCGAGTGTGAGCAAACGCGGCACCTATCTTGCACACAGCTTTCTCATGTCCAAATTTTCAGATAATATGCGAGGTACCGCACTTTTTGAAATTCCTACTATGTCTGCTAGCTCGCGCACTTTCAGTCGACGATCATCCAGTACCGCTTTGTGGATTTTCTTCGCCATTTCTGGAATCGTCACCTTATTTGGTCGACCACTGCGATGCTCGTCTTGGCAGCTCGTACGGCCTCGTTTAAACTCTGCTACCCAATATTTTACTGTTGTAAACGAAGGAGCAGACTCACCCAGAGTAGAATCCAGCTCAGCTTTTATATTGGTTGTGCTAAGGCCTTTCAAATAAAGTACTGTATCACATAACGATGACCAATTTTCTCCATTTTCACAAATTCACTGAAAACGTTCATTATTGATGGCTGCCAAACAAATACTAAACAACGTGGCGTCTTCAAACTTGAAACATATGCTTTATAGATTGTGTACTTTGTAATACAATGATATTTTTCAAACAACTACCGCCATCTCTATGTCAGGTCGGGTACTTCAGGGACCACCCTCGTACTTCTGTAAAACGTTCAACAGAAAACCATTCCTTCATGTTGGAGATTGTTTCAAAAAATATCATACATTAAAAACTTATAAATAATTATGTGAAACTCATATATTTGTAATACTCCTTCAAAAAATAAATAATTTCTAACAAAAATGTTATTCTTATAATACTGAAAATTTATCGCATATTTACCGAAACCAGCTACAACCTAGTGAAAATAACGCATAAAAAGCCAGCGTCCGATAACAAAAATTAATAAGCGGTATATTAATTACTTATTTTACATGTCTGCTGAACGAGAACAAGGGTTACTAAGCGGTATATTAATTACTTATCTTATATGTCTGCTGATAAAATATATTTTACGGAGTAAGAATTTTTTCACTTTAATAAATTATTACATGCGCTCGTATATAGTCGGAATATTTAGCATGAAGAGATAAGATTTGCATTTTTACGATCTGTAATAGTTCTTTTATTTATTTAATGTACATCTTCACTCCAAGAAATGTAAAAATCATATATCGAAAATCTGTCGCTTGTAATATATGAAAATATATATGAAAATAGTCATCAATTAAATTGTTATCATTCATTTATTCTTCATTTGCAGTTTATTTATACTTTTACTTGAGGCATATAACTTTATATATTTGCTTAAAGCTTATAATTGTTTCTTTCTCATTCTATGCAATCTCTAATTCTTTTGTCAAAGTTGGCAACGTCAAAAAATGATGAAGAAAGTGTGAAAAAGGAAAGTTTGTTACTTTATTCATCTATTTACTTATTAATTTTAATTATTCCGTTTAATGCTATGTTTCCTTACGTTTTTATTTTTAAATATTGTATACATACAATGTTATTGGGCTCCTAACCTATCGTAATGCAAATCCGTTGAAATTTTGATAATTTGTAACACTATAACATCGTTGGAAAAGTATCTGATTGACTCTATCAACAAATTCGATATTATCAACCATACGCGCGCACCTTAGAGCAACCCGTCGTAATGGGTCGTATGTTGGTGCATCATTCTATACATCTACTGGATATCCAACAGATATCTAAGACCATCTTAAGATATTGTATAATAATTGCGATATCGAGTATGGCATGGTAGACAGCATACCGGTCTGCTATGCCAGAAGTCCCGAGTACGATTCCCGGGAGAACGAGAAAATTTTTCATACGGTCGTAATTCTTCTTCGGTAGTCCGACAAACAACCAAGAGTATTTATTCATGCCAAGGAGAGTTGTCTCCAAAAATTTACCGTTCGGAACTGGCGTTTAAACTGTGGTCCCATGTGCATGTATATAATCTGCGTGCGCACCACATGCATGCCTAAGAGAGAGAAGTAGGCCTAGGCCCACCTTTGAACTGTAACGCCATTAATCAGAATTGCGATATCTTAGGATATTGTATAGTAATTGCGAAATTAATATCTAGGACATCCCTCAAATAAAATGTGCTGTGTGGGATTTAAGTAATTGAGTAATTTGCAAAATAACCTGGTACTGGAATACGTGGGAGACTTTCTTGAATTCTAGGTGCTTGAATTAATTCTCACTGTTGACTAATAGAGATCAGTAATTGAGCTATTTCAACTTGGCCGAAAGTGGCTGCTGATGTATATGAAAGTACTATGAATAGGCTTTAATATTTAGTATGTGACACTAGGTCGTAGTGTAAAGAACACAATTTTTTATTATATTGAAGATGTCGGGTTACGTACCAAAAAAAGAGCATTTGCGGGAAACATTATTTTTTTGCTTTCATCTCAAGAAATCTGCTGCTGAAAGTCATCGTTTGCTAGTGGAGGTTTATGGGGAGAATGCTCTATTTGAAACAACTTGCAAAGATTAGTTAAGTCGATTAAAAAAAAAACGATTTTTACATGAATGACAAAGAGCACCCTGGTCAACAGAAAATGTGTGAAAATGGAGAATAGAAGGTATTATTGGAAGAGGATTTATGTTAAACGCTCAAGGAATTGTCGGAAACATTAAATGTCGATGACTCAAAAGTTAGCAAACGTTTAAAAGCAAAGGGAATGATTCAGAAGCTGGGAAACAGAGTCTCACATGAATTGAAAGAAAGAAACATTGGGAAACGTTTAACCATTTGTGAGTTGCTGCTTCAAAGACAAAAATGGAAGTCATATTTCCATCGAATTGTGACTGGCGATGGAAAATGGATTCGTTACGACAAACCTAAACGTAAGAAATCATGGTGCACCCCGATGAACCAACATCATCGCCAAAACAGCATATTTATGGAAAGAAGGTCATGCTGTGCAATTGGTGGGATCAAGTCGGTGTGGTATACTATAAGCTGCTGCAACCAAGTCAAACCATCAATGCTGAATGTTACCGACGACAATTACTCAATTCGAATCGATCCCTCAAAGAAAAACATCTTTAAAAAATACATGACAAAATTATTCTTTTCCATGACAATGCTATACCGCATGTTACAATACCAGTGCAGGAAAACTTAGATGGGATGTCTCTCCCCACCCAACCTATTCTTTCACCAGACATTGCTCCTTCAAATTATCATTTGTTTTAGTCGATGCAGCATGGCCTTTCTGAGCAGCACTTTAGCTCTTTCGAAGATATAAAAAAATGTCTTGATGACAGGATTACCTCAAAATAACCAGAATTTTTCTACTACGAAATCCATGTGTTACCCGAAAAGTTGGAAAAAGTTATAATTTCCGAAGGACAATACTTTGAACAGGGTATAATGCACCATTCTTTTGAAATATACATGAATTTTTGTAGAAATAACAGCAAAAATGAATTCAAACACCTAATATTAGTTTCAAGAAGATATTAAATCGACATCTAAATCCAAATCAATAATATTAGTTTGTTCGATAAGTTCGTGCAGATTTTTAGGAAAAACTGAAAGTTCATATGTCCATAATTAGGTATAGATTGATTGTTTCTGTTTGTTTCTATAACCTGCTATCGAAAAAACGGTCATATAATATATTATTGAAGAAATTTATATATCCCTAATTATAAAAATGTCGACTTTAAACCTATCGTAAAGATTCGCACGAACTTATCGGACAACATATAAACTATGATGTATTAATGTTCTCGTCATAGTACCTCAAGAAGTAACCGTTCGCCGATGTAACAGTACATATATAACTGCAGCAATACATAGGTCACGTAAACCGTCAGAAAGATGAGTTGAAAGATGAAGATTTCGTCTGTTCCACCGATTATTGACTATGAAACAATGGAAAATCGCATGCACAGATCAACTTGTCTCCTCTCGATTCATTTATTTCCTTTATTTGAGTCGCAATTTAATTTCTTTTTCTTTGAAACTCACCATCAACGCCTGCAGACACTGGACGCACATTTGCAGTGAGCATCCCAACATTTGTAGGAGCAACATCATATTGAAAGAGTTTTCGATCGTTTCTGCAAACCTTATAAAAAATACTATTGCGACATGGAAACGATCTAAAATTTTTAGCAAAATTCCCCAGTTTTATGTCGTATTTACTCGCAGCAAATATAAAATATATCACTAATTATTCGCATGTTTTCAATGACACTACTTCCGCACCCCCCTTTCCTATATAGTTTTTCTTTCTGATTTTTTTAAAATAAATCAATTATAATGTTTTTGATTTTCAGTAAAAATACACACACAAAACAATTATGTAAATATTGTAATTAGTTACATACAACTAAATATATCATAACACTGATAATATGGAATATAATAAGTAGCATGTTATACAGGATTTTAATCTTATTTTAATCAATCCACTTAAATATTTTTCTTGCCTCGTACAAAGAAATGTTTTAAACATAAGTAAAAACTATCGTTGTCATAATGTTTTTGAAATAATATTGATGAAACGATCAAATTTAAAGGTACTGTAAATGATGTCCATGAATACTACTTTGGGCCTCTAAATGGCCTCAAGAAATGGTTACCTATATGTAAGTGTCATTGCGCAGCTGTTTTATGATTACACTAAATGTATTATTTAATTCGTGCTGCCCAACTTTACACAAATATATACATCATTTAAATTTAAATTATTGTCGCGTCTTTTTGCTATTTTGAAATATTGACATTCAAGATTAAAATATGCCATGTAGTTTGACATTTAAGCAACATAACCTTAAAGTCAGTAATAAATATGATGACCAACGATAAAGAACATATTTGACACTGCATGCGTTTTATGTATAATCTCAATACTTTTGAGACAGCCGAAATGATTTGTTCTGCTAATGAAAAGGTGTAGGGAGTGAAGGAACGTGCAGAAAATGGTTTTGTCATTTTCGTGATTTCAGTGTTGACGACCATTAACCAAGTGCAGCCTCGCAAGTTTGAAAACAATGAACTGCAGGCACGACTCGATGAGAACCCGACTCAAACACAAAAAGAACTTGCCGAGCAACTTGGAGTAATACAACTAACGTTTTCGGTTCGATTGCACGAGCTGAGAAAAATTCACAAAGAAGGAAGGTAGGTTCTACATAAGATAACGACTGCTAACAACAAAAATCGTCGGTTAACCAGGGGCATTTCTTTGTTCAGCAGAGTACAAAAAAAGATCTTTCACATAAAATCGTAATTGGCAATGAAAAATGGATTATGTATGATAATCTTAAACGCAAAAATTATGAGTGAATTCCAGTCAACCGACAACACCAAAAGCAAAACCTAAACGCTTCGGCAAGAAAGTTCTTCTTTGCATATAGTGGGACCAGAAAGGTGTACTGTACTATGAGCTCCTCGAACCAGGTCAGACAAATCAGAGCTCTACCAACAACAATTAATCAATTTAAGCGGTGCAATTTAGGAAAAACGGTCATTTAATGGACAAGGCAATCGTAAGATCATTTTGCTCCATGACAATGCTAAGCCGCACAGCAGAAACCACAAACGAAACTATCTTAAACTTGGGCTGGGAAATTCTTCTTCATGTGGCGTATTCGCTAGACATAACCCCTTCAGACTACAACTTGTTTCGAACAAACGTTGACTTGCCAATGATCCCGAAAATGTCGCCATTGTAGCTAGGACGAAGTTACCAGCCGTTGTTCACGTCCTAAGCGTTATCTCCAGTGAGGGTAACATCATGCAACCGTATTTTTTAAATAAGGAAGGAACCGTCACAAATGAAGTATATACGAGGGCAGTTCAATAAGTACCTGTGTTAGAAATGAAGACACCATTTTTTCAAAAAATTTTTTTTTATTTTTCAACATAGTCCCCTTTTAGAAAGATACACTTCTCCCAACGTTCCTGCCATTTTTTTAACCCCTCCAAAAAATAGGATTTGTCGAACTCTCCAAAATACGCCTCTGTCTCGGCGATGACTTCCTCGTTTGAGCTAAATTTTTTTCCCGCGAGCCATTTCTTCATGTTAGGGAACAAGAAAAAGTCGCAGGGAGCCAGATCGGGTGAATACGGGGGTGCGGCAGCAATTCATAACGCAATTCATGCAGTGTGGCGGCGACAACTCCGGATGAATGTGCTTTCCACCGTGAGCAATCGCGGCACCCATCGGGCCGACAATTTTTTCATCGCCAACTTATCATGTAAAATATTAATTGCCGTTCCGGTCGACACACCTACGGCCTTTGCTACTTCGCGCACTTTCGTTCGTCGATCAGCGAGAATCATGTCGTGGACTTTTTGAATGATTTCCTCGGTAACCACGTCTGCCGGGCGTCCTGGTCGCTCCTCATCAAAAACAGATGTTCGCCCACGTTTAAATTCGTTGAACCAATATCTAACTGTGGTCATAGATAGCGAAGTGTCCCCATAAACAGCATCCAACTTTGCTTTTATCTCCTCGCATTTTTTCCCATCCAAAATCAAAAAGCGAATTACCGAACGATACTGCTCTTTTTCCATCTTAACGAAAATCATGAAACACGTCTTACTCGAATGGCTGCCAAATCCAAACTAACTTATCAATCAGTCTGCAATTTGTTTTGCCGTCGTTTGATAGATGACAGCACACGATGATAACACCAACTTCCCTCAGGAACGCCCTCTGTCGTCTAACACGGGTACTTATTGAACCGCCCTCGTATACGCGTTCTGACAACAGTAGTCAAGCTATGGATGGACACTATGGCCTCCGGGAGGCCGTACATCTTCCAACAGGACGGCGCATCAGCTCACACGAGTCATTAGGTCCAAAACTGGCTGTCGGACAATGTCGACATGTTTAGGAGCAAAGAGTTTTGGCCTCCGAATAGTCCAGATTTAGATCCGTTGAACTAGAACATGATTGAAAGAGTTACTAACAAATGGAGACATCCTAATGTGGCATTTCTCCAGACCGCTATTGAAGCAACATTCTTCAATATAGACAAGCCGGCGTTATAGAAAGCGTAATTGGTTCAGGCTCAGGATCGAGACAGTAATTGCGACAGACCTGGTTATATTGAGTAATTTTTATCTATAACAGTTCCACAAATTACACGAAAAAAGGTTTTTATGTAATTTTGTACTTTTGACCAATAAACTTTACCAATAAACTATTGTTAAATATATTGTTTATTTTGTCCAGATTTAACTGACGCACTCTGTATATATAATTAGAAATATATTAACCAATGATTAAGCGCTGACCCAATAATTACTGAAATATTACCAGTATTTAATCACTGTAAATCCCTTAGTAATTTTCAATATTAAATTTCTGTAAGGTTAGTCGATCCGAGGAAATTGGCAATAGAAATAGTAGACCCTACCGCCAAAGAGTGTGATCGAGGAGCTCGTTGTTAGCGCTAATATTATTGGAAGCTATGCCGATGATGATACGAACGCAATCATAATGTTATGAGTGATTGTGTATGACATCATAAGAGTTCGCATCATTATTTTATAAATTAATATATTACCAACGTTATCTCTAGGTCCAAATTATAACCAACGCTGCCATCTCTGAGATAGTGATTGATAGCATTGGTAACGTTAATGTTTTTAAAGCTTTCTGCCGGTAGTAACAAGTTTATCAAAAAACGCTAGCGAATATATGGCAGCTGTATATATTAGCTGTATTCGGTTTTGCAAATCTGAGGCATTGCTTTGTTCTTAAGATTATCTTAACCCTTAGCTGACACACGTCAAAATAATAACGTACGTGCTATAGGGGGTATTTTGGACCCCAGCAAGAAAAAATGTGTATAATTGTTTTATTTATCAATATTGGGTCAAGCTTCGACTAATACTAGGTGATGCCACAGAACCAAATTTGGCGCGCAGCTATGAAAAATTTGCGTTCAAAAACACTCTGGGGTACTTTTAACCCCGTGTGTCAGCTAAGGGTTAAGATAATATCGATATCTAAGATAGCAAGATAATATAGGTTATCTTAAAATAATAACTATCTTAATTATGAGTTATTTAAGATTAGAGTAATTTCTATTCATTAATAAAAATCCGATGGTCAAATATTAAAATAAACCAAAAATATATTAATATCAACAATATACGTGGTTTTAACAGAATTATATAATTTCAAATTAATTGATTTTAAATAAAAAAATTATAGTTTAAAATATTAATGACTATGTTCTAATCATAGGTCAATAATTTATGTCGCGTCCCTTTAACGTCTTTATATATGTCTTAAATATAATATATTAGATTAAAAAAATATATATAAATTTTATTATTTTACTAAATATAATTGTATTAAATATGCAGAAGGTAGATGAATGATATTCTGGACTTTTTTCTTAAATATCTACAATATTTTTGAATGTAACCTTCGAATACAATAATTTTAAGAATTAACTAAAGTGTATAAAAAAAATTTTTTCATTATTCGTATTTTCATTATAAAGTGTACTTTTTTAAATATATTAATAAAGTATATGACACAAAATTAAGACTCGACTTATAATTGGTATCGTTATCTTATCTAACTAATGAAACGACTTTCCTGGAACCAAAACAAATTGATGTCTCCGATTTGTAAACTCGAACGCAGCTATTATAGAATTTACGTTGGATGATGATATATTGATAGAGCGAACGCATCTAAACTGTGCGCAGCAAGATCTTATTGGTTTCTGTCGCCAATGTGTTATCAGATCGTTACAGACTCCGCTCGATTTATGCCACTAATCTACTCGCCTATCAGCATATTTTGTCACATATTTGGCCGCAATTTGGTAACGTAATCAGAAATAATAAATCCTATGTTCAATTTGTTCTTCTGACATCAAAAATTTATAGCAGGCTGTGATCAGGACCTGTTTGCGCAGGTTTGGATATTTAGATATACTATTCGTTCATAGATAATTATAATAAAAATTTGTACCATTTTATATTATAAGAATGAGTTTCACGGTAAAACATTAACCATAACGTTTGATTACCATTCTTATACACATTAATATATCATATTTTGCGTACGAGAAACAGATGTCACCTAACAAACGATTCAATATTTGCATATGAAAATGTTACATAACATAGAAATGTTACATAATATAATTACATAACATAAGATGTTACATAACATGCAAAACATAATTTGTTACATAACACGTTATATATAAATTATTTTGCTTATAAGTTATTATACTGTTATAAATAGCATATAACACAAAGAATATAATAATTAATAAAAATAAAACACAATTACATTGCAGTTATAAGAAAAATGTTTAATTAATTTGAATTTTATATAACAGCAGTTATATGACGTGTTACTTTTATTAAATAAAATATTTATATTCTGTGTCTTTTGGGTACTAATTGTCATGTGCAATATTTTTAACTGATTCTCTGTTGTCTGATTGTTTTTTGGCGATGATAAATTGATTATATTTTAAAAAGCATACTTTGTTCGCTTCGACCTCATCTTTTCTCACCTGTTTAGATATTCGTGCTTCCTCACGATATTCCTTAATTTCCCTTGAAATTCCGTTTTCGTAGTAGCCTGCAAATCCCTCAATTCGCGACGCAGATTTGACAATTGACCGCACGTGTAAAGCACCAGCATGGCGATGAAAGTGTCTACTGCAGTGTAAGTGTTTGCCGCATAAAAAGTGCCCACTAATTGTCCCATGAAGGTCAATTCGTAGAAAGGGCTACTGGTCCAATTGTAAGGGAAGTACGCGGTAAAGAACAATTGCCGACCGCTATACCGAATCATGAGAAATCGTAACGCGATGTATAATATCACCACTATTTGCACCAACATGACGCTCTTTATGGATAGGTTCCTGCTGATGCCTGCGATATCCAACATTGTGCCGCGGTCTTGTTTATTTGCAATCGTGTTCCAATCTCTCACCATACTTGTCATGAGTAACCTCAGGGCTATTATGGAATGTTTGGGAAGATTAAAATGCTTTAAAAATGTGTTGTAAAAATAATATTTCATGTGTTGTTTCATATTTCATGGAGTTATTTTAATACAATCTCTTTACTTTGATCATTATTATTTGAATAATAATTAAATCACTTTGCTGTGGCCAAAAGTACGGAATATATTTTTAATCATTAAAGATCCGTATTAATATCATTGGAGAAAAATGACCAAAACCGACATACTATTCTTTTTGGGCTCTAAAGCTTTTATCAAAGAGTAAAATTAAAATTTATATACATGAATGCAAATCGGCAAAATTTCATTATCACAATATTCCAAACAACACGTATGTCTAAGACTTTTCAAAACAACGTCCTTTAGACGGCTCATTGTCTTATTTAAAAGTCTAATTGTCTAAAATATGTCTTTATATTGTATTAAGACGTTTTAATGTTTTTTAGGTATAGAAATCCTATGAAAAATTATTACATATATCCTTGCAAATAACTATTTTATAAGATATTTGAGAATTAACACTTTTAGAAAGTAGACTTCAATATTGACATACCTATAATATCTATTGGTAATTATCAAGAAAAAAAAATAAAGGCACTGAAATTATTTTATACATTTATTATATTTCCATACATGTTATTCTTAATCTTACATATTTTTAAAACTAAAAATTTTTTTAAATATATTGCTTCTTTATTAATGTGGAAACATCTTAAACAAACAAACTAGAAAAACAGGAGAAAATCAGTCATCGGTTTCAACAATGTTCTGTAAAATAATATTTCACAGCAAAGTTCAGGTATGTCGGTTGAAAAACCAGTAAACTGAAGTATCTCAGTTCACAGAACAACCAAAATCTAACTTTTCTTATGTAGTTTAATGGCAGAGGATAGAAATTGGCAAAAGATCCAAAGCGATTCACAAAGTTCGAAATTTACTATACTTACTATAAAATAATATTGTCAAATAAATTACATACCACTGATTTGTTACTTAAATTTTCACAAGAAGAAAGCTCAAACTTCAGCATAACGATGATATCGAAAAATCAAACGATATTAATAATATAACCAAACGCAGTTAAACAGAAACTGCCATTTCACCTCCAACTGAATATACGATAGACAATTTATATTGTCTGATAAAGTTTAGTACTTTATAGCTAAGAAACATGATATATCGGTTTACCATAACTATAACAGTTTTGATGTTTTCCTCTACTTGAAACCTTCCTCTCAATTGAAGAATTCGGATCCAAATTTAGAATTAGATTTGAATGATTCAGATAAACCATATATAATATACGTGACATTATATTTATAATCACAATCTGACTAAAAACCTCAGATTTAACTCTAAATTCAGACCTGATTACTTTACATGAGACTAATTTCAAGACATGATTACTAATACGGACCTAAGATAACCATCGATTAACGATCAGCAGAACATAATAAATTTGATTGATGCTTTATTATATAGCAATATAATTTTTATTTTCATATTTATTTTAGATCGGTGAAAAAATTCGTAATATTTCTTTTAATTTATAAATACTCGTTAGTTTAATTTGACACAATTAAATTATTCTTTATTTATAATACTCTACATTTATGTCTGGGATGTAAAAGATATAGATTTCTACATGAAAAAAAAATTAAAACTAAAGATTTATACTATGAAAGTTGATATATTTACGTCCACCTTTCGACCAAAATACAATGGTCTTTAATAATGAGATTGTGATTGTTATGTTTCCCATGGACAAGTTTTCTAACATCAGATCAAGATCACCCCAGATAAAAATCAAATTGATCGACTGAGGCACGCATATGAAGAAGAACATCGACACAACAGGAGCTAATACTCTATAGCTCGAAACTTGACTGAAACTTCTGTCCTCCGGCCAGATTCCCATGAACGTCATGGTATAGCGATTCCAGCCATATGCATACTCTAAGTCTGCCTTTTTTAAACAAATGCAAACTGTTAGCTAATGTTATTCCTTTCACAGACTCTTAATATTTTAACGGAATGACTGAACGTTAGATAATCCACAGATAAAAACGAAATATCTAAGTTTCAACATTCTGATCAACCGACCTCGATTTATATCCATTCAGGCTGTCGCGACAACGACGTCTAAGTAACTGACAGAATCTAATTTACGAAGCGCATACGATCCTTCACGACGCATGCTCTTTGAGTATGCATTATGTAACTTTAACGAATATCATTGTGTGTGTGTGTGTGTGTGTGTGTGTGTGTGCGTGTGTGTGTGTGTGTGTGCGCGCGCGCGTGTGTGTGTGCGTGTGTGTGTGTGTGTGCGTGTGTGTGTGTGCGTGTGTGCGCGTGTGTGCGTGCGTGCGTATAAATACATTAATAATCCGGATGCACTTTTCAAATATAACATGAGATAAGATTTATAATAGTTATAATGTTTCCACATCATACAGCGTATGATGTAAGTATTATAATGTAATAATTATAATAAAAACTGCTATATTTATATTGTAATACTATATTATTACGATATAATATAACATAACATATATAGCCATAATAATAAAAAAACTATTATAATTTACGTAAGTTTATAAACAACAAAGGCGAAACTATAAAGATTTCTGAAAAAAATTGAAAAGAAGATATGTTTTTTACTTTACTAAGGGAGTCACGTAGTAAGTCTGAATTATAATCTAGGATTGGATCCAAGACCACTTCTGTTTTTAATTTATGACATATAGTTGGTGACTTAAAAGTTAAGACACTTTTTAATATTATAGTTTTTGTAATAGATAAAAATTGTGTGTGAAAATCTCTCAATTTTCGTCTGTTCCTAAAATACTCTGAAAAGAAATTCGTTACAACATTTTTGTTGCTGATTATACATAAACAAATGCGTATCAAATTAGAATTCTAAACAATAGCATATGTTAACCCTTTGCACTCCGGGCCTTTTTCGCGCGGCGCACCAGCAACTGCAGACGTGGTGAGTGAGAGTCACCACTGGAGTGCAAAGGGTTAATATATTGAAAATGATTTGTTTTATAATGCGAAGGTTCTCTCTATCAAAGAAATCAACAAGTGAAAGCTAATGGCGCGCGGGACTTACATGATCATTGCATATGTTTTCCGACTATCGACCGACGTTAAAGAAGAGAAATAACGTCCATCATATTTCTGAGGTCACATTATTATTGCCACGTTAATTGTTTTACAAATATGCCAATATATTAACGTCATTTCTCTGGTTTGTCTTAATGAGGTATCGATTAAGAAATATTACTAGTACTACGTAATACGGTATAACTGTGGCAGTATATCTCGTCATTTCAGTTGCGACCTGTATCGTTACTGCTCTTCGGTCAATCTATCGTTCATTGCCAATAATACTGATAGATAACCGCCAGATGTTCTCAAGATCTGTAAAAGGGATTGAATAAACTTCGCTTTTGGAAAAGATCTTTTGGAAAGATTTATGAAAATATTTATGAAAATAATGAGAAAAAGAAAGAGCGAGAGAGAAAGAAAAGAAAAAATAAAAGAAGAAAAGTCTAAGAAGCGTCAAGAAATTAAATATTTTGAATATTTTGTCTTTAATTAAAGAAATATTGTAACACGCCAATAAGTGTCGCCGTAGTGGTTGGTGCGAATAAGTTATTTTATTCAAGAGGATAAATATGTTTAATAGAATCAATGCGCTAACTGCTTCGTTTGATTTTTCAAACGTATGAAGAAAATCTTTCTTTCACTTCAAATCGACACTATATACTATTATTAACAATTTTATTAATCCCCAATTCTTCTAAACTAAATTCTAAACTTCTAAACTAATAAAAATTAAAGCAAGCATTTGATTTGATTCTCTAGAATATTGCAAAACATAATGCCTCCACTAGAAGTCGAATCTAGAAACATCCCATTTGCCGGGCGGAACATCTTTACCAATTTGGCCATCAAAGTTACGATATTAACATATCGGTGCGTGCGTTGACACTATCAAACATATTAATGTAAAATATTCTCCGATATAAATTAATTTATTCGCACAATTGCATCAGTAGTAACCTCTTATTGCCCTGTTTTCATATTTTTTTGATTATACGAGATTTGTTCAAAAAGTATCGCGAATTTTGAATTTCCGCGGGTTACGTATATTTAATTCTCGATTTTTTTGTGGCGTTATGTTGGTACTCATGTCCCTCACTTATGTCGACAAGTTCAGCCGTTTTGAATATTCAGTTTATCTTTGACAGCTGTTTTGCTTGGACGTGTTTTGGATCGTCTTCAATTTTTGCCTATTCCAAAAAATGGATCAAAGAATCTTTATCAAATTTTGTCTGAAAAACAAAATTAAGTGCGCGGATGCATTCCGAATGTTGACTGTGGCATATGGTGAAGCTACCTTGGACCGAAGCAACGTTTATCGGTGGTACAAAATGTTCTCAGAGGGCCGAGAAGATGTNAAGAGCGTGCCGGACGCCCGAACACGTCAACAACAGACGAAAACATTGATGAAGTGAAGAAAATAGTATTGGCCAATCGTCGATTCACCGTTAGAGAAGTTGCTGAGGACCTAAACATATCGATTGGCTCGTGCCATTCGATTTTTACTAATGATTTGGACATGAGACGGGTCGCCGCGAAATTCGAACCAACACCCCTGCTCACACATCGTTGCTTGTGCGCTAATTATTGGCCAAAAACAACACACTAATGATGCCGCAGCCACCGTATTCCCCAGACCCGGCCCCTGTGACTTTTTCTTGTTCCCGAAACTGGAGAGGCACATGAAAAGACGACGCTACGCTACGATTGAGGAGATAAAGACGGCATCGTAGGAGAAGCTGAACAAGATCATAAAAAATGATTTTTTGAAGTGCTTTGAGGATTGGAAAAAACGTTNTGATGGGGATTACTTTGAAGGAGACAAAATAGATATTCATAATTAAATAAATAATTTTTGAAAAAACACAAAATTCGCAATATTTTTTGAACAGACCTCGTATATAACGAAAGTCTATAAATACATATTAAATTGTGAATTTTATTTTTAATTATTAACACATTAACTGCTACACTGATTGTTATTAATAACTTCAAACTTATTTGAAGTTTGAATAATCAAAATACTAGGTGTACCGGTATGAAGTGAGCGTTTTTTTGTGAAATCAA